GGAGACAAAATGTGGAATCTGCATTTTTCAATGAAAAAAATCATTTCCGATTACTTATAGTTTAAATATTTTAAAATAAAGCGTTTCACTGATAAACAGTATTTTAAGTCTTCATTCAAAAATTCGAAATCAGCGTTTTCTAAATTAGGGCTACTAGTTTGTATGTAAGATAAAGGTAGGTTATATGATGAAAAGCATTTGCTATCCATAAACCCATATAATTCTTCATAATTTTATAATAAAGAATAATATCCTCCTTTAAGTGGCTCATTTACTTAGTTTTTGTGGTATTAAGAAAGACCTGGAAAGATAAGGCCCCTCTGACATAAACTGGTATCAGCAAAGTTATTTGGATGTATGTTACCATTCTACTCAAAAAAATTACAGAAAGTACATATTTATTGTGTTTCATGAACTACCTTCACTGTCTTTAAAAAATAAAACGTAATTGCTTAACATTTTTGATATTACTAATTTTTTAAAAATTCAGGATCATGTCCTATTAGTTAAATCCTAAAAAATACTTGGAATCTACCAATATTAGATCATTTTTAACCTTGCTATAATCTAAATATGATTAAAGCACCAGATGGTGTTTATGTGATGCACTGTAACTAACATATTTTGCAAATCTTGGAAGATAACTGACCTTTAATTATTTCTTTATTCAGCTTAGCTCCCTCTCACACCCATTATTTATCCTATCCCACAACCTGTAATCTTATGCATTACACTTCTCTCCTTGTCCCCATTCTCTTCTTCATTTGAACCTTTTAAATGCCTTCACTGAAATCTAGCTTTTTCCAGATGACAATTTGTGCCTTATATACCCTGCGTCTCAATTTGTGGGAAGAACAATCAGCCTATTTTATGTTTCCCAATACTACTTACTGATGTTATACCATCATCATCTCTCTGAAATTCGTGCCATCTGATTAGGTCATCATTGGCTATAATAACTTCCACTTTCCTGCATGAATCAGCACTTTCTTTCTTCTGGCCTGGTCTCCTGTTATATAGATCTTTTTCAAAGCCTATAGTGATAACCCATTCAATATCTCCCAATTCAGTGGCTTCTCAGAGCTTTTCTGTTTGAGCCACCTAACACCATGGCTACCCCTTGTATCAGCTCTTGAATGAAGCAATTCTTTCTGACCAGTGTCTTCTCTTTTCCGTTATATATCTTGAATTCATCCTTTTATCTTTTTCACTCTGATCCCATGTTTTAATTACTTTACCCCTTCTGATTTCCTCACTTCGTTAGCTCCCTTCTGATGTCATTTGCACTTAGAATCAATGCTCAATCGAGCATTCCCCATCCCTTGACTTTTTGCTATGCCAGTATGGTTCACTTGCCTACTTTTTCTTTCTCTACAATAGTTTCACATGTTAGAGTTCTAAATTATTACATGAAAATGCAACCTAGTTATTTGAACTTTTTATAATGGCTCCATTCTATTAGTTTGTTTCAATTTTAAAATCAGAAAACCTTACTGACTGTATCCACTGTCAAGTCCCTGACTTTAACTGGACCTCTCTGCTTCTCAATACAGTATATTCTTTTACAGCCCTTCTATTCATGTGTTCCAAATGCTTTCCATATTCCAAGTGCTTAAATCTAACATCCCTTCCCAGGATACGACCCTGCCTCCTACTTTACTAGAAAAAAAATGGACTACATTTGCCAAATTCTCATCCGTCTTTTCGATATCAAAATGTCTGTGTCCATGCTACATCCAAATTTATTTTAACAGAGATTTGTAGATTATTTTAAACTTTCCTTGCAGACCTCCACATTTTTATTCAACTATCTTTTCTTCCTTCTTTACTCAGAAGTGTCTTCCTTTTCAGGGCTAACCTGCCTCTTCTAGAGCCTTCTTTAACAATTGAACTCTCCCTTCCTTTCTGCCACTCTCCTCCATTTGCCATTTCACCCTCTCTAGTTCGTTTCTGATCAGCAGATTATTAAATTGGAAACTGAAAGGTCTGAGATTTTACCCTACCTGAAAGCTAATAGGTGAGCCTGCCACAGTTTTACATACATACACTAACAGAAAACACAAGTCCAATGGGTCAGAGAAAAAGACCATTTATTACTTGTGGCAAAAATAACAACCAAAGCAATGTCTTGCATCAAGCCCCAGGCCCCAATTCCCATAAGGCAACACACTGAGGGCCACAGCAAGGTGTGTTACAGGAGACGAGCCCCCAAATAAGGAAGACAGGGATGTAAGCAAATTTTCACCAAGAATGGAAGAGAATTTACTCCCCTGGAATGTCTCCAGGGATGGAGATGTTCTGTATCTTTACAATGCTAGTCAGGAAAAAAATCTTCCCTCTGTCCTTAAGGTAGACACTCTCTCTCATTTTCAAGGATGTTTGCTATGCAAACCGCTTTGCTCAGAAGATCTGGACCATGCAGAAATGTGCAATATTCATAGAGAATTGTCTCCCAACACAAATTTTCCCAGGTTTCTCTTATCTTCAAATATATCTCATATAGTTTATACTCACTGCCTTTGTTGTCTTTCTATTAACTTCTTAGTCTGTTACTCTGTCATTCCACTGAAAACTATTCCAAGATACCAGTGACATATTATTAACCCAATCAATGGTTGTTTTTTAATCGTTCTTGACTTTTTGCATAATTTAACAAGGACTATGCTTTTCTCCTTTTACCTCTAAACTACTCTGTTTTCTATAACTAATCTGATTCTTAGGTCACTCTCCCTTGCCCATCTCTTTTTCTTAACTCTTTGTGCTTTTTCATTCTATTAAATGTGAACACATCACACATTGACGTCTCATTCTACATTTGTTCCTTCATATGTTTTCCACTTTGAGTTTCAGCTGTCACTTCTACACATGACTATAATTTCCTTCTTATATTCCAAAACTCACCTGCCTTCTCAATATTTCTGCTCTTAGATAATAAATTTTAAAACAGAATAAATTCCATGACCTGACTTTTTAAGATTTTTGTCAGTTGGGTCCTCATTCTATCAGCTTTTTAGATTCAAAACCTGAGAATGTGGTTGAATGGACTCACTTAAATTCAACAACAGTCTTTTAATTGGAGATGAGAATAAAGGAAACGTAGTAAAATAAAATGTTATCTTCTGAAGATACAGATGGAGTTAAGAATGGAGGCAAAGAGACCAACAAAAGGCTGATCCACTGTAGCAGTAGAGACAGAAAACAGATACATCTGAGAATGATTTTGGTGGTACAATTTAGAAACTAATAGGCTAATATTTTAAATTCCCCTATCATATCCAGCTTCTGGTAGATGAAGGTACTGTTAACCAAAATGCAATAGATATGAGTAGATGCATATGCTGCTATCTTTGCTTGAGCATTTTTACCTAACACTCATTTATTTACCCTTCGTAACTTGGCTCAAATGTGACTTTCTTTGAGAAGTCCTCCCTAACTCTTTTTTTTTTTTTTAAGATTTTTATTGGGGAATTGGGGGGATGGGAACAGTGCTGGGGAATTGGGGGAAGGGGAACAGACAAGTTGCTGTCGTTTTTGTTCTTCAGTCTAGTTGTGGAGGACGTTGCTTCACTGGCCCAAGTTGGCACCATCATTGTACTCTTCCCGGGCGAGGCAGATCAGTCGCTGGCTTCTGGACGGCCGCTCACTGCAGCTGCTGGCCACTCATGCTGGCTGCTGGCTACATACAGTAGCCCATGGCAACACACTGCAGCAGGGGCAGCAGCCTTCACTGTCGCCGGCGACTCACGGCAGCCCAGTTCCAGGTTGAGCTATTGTTCAGGATCTTAGCTGTAGAGGGCAGTGTCACCAGCCTTCATATGTGAGATCCGAACCCGGGGCCTCTGGCATCCCAAGCCAGTTCTTAACCATCGTGCCACTCAGCCAGCCCAAGTCCTCCCTAACTCTTTACACTGTCTTTCCCCTTTCTCCTTAACCTCTTACCATTTCTCAGACTGAATTAGTCTTTCTCCCTTCCTAGATGTTGTGATAACATCTTTTGCGTTGATATGACACTGTGTCAAAATAGATGGTTTATCTAGTTCTTTCATACACTGAGCTCCTTGAGAGCAGAAACAGTTACTGTATTTATGAATCCATGGCACCTTTCATAGTGTATGCTCAATAAATGTTTGAATGAAATCAGCAAGTCATCAAGTACTTAAACTATTTTTCTTTATGATGTTTTGTACTTACCTCTTTCTTTCTAGGCCCCCAAAGTTTATACCCTATGACAGTTGTCTTATAACTGGTCTTTTTAGTCTGTAATTTCTCTGTGGTAGCCTGTATATTGATACCAGATTAATGAAATTCCATATTTTGCAGTGCCTACATAAAACCTTCAATATCTTTCCATTAACTAAATAATAAAAGTCCAAATTCACCAGTAAAGAATTGAGACCTTCCCCCACTATGTTCTGAGAATTCACCATGTTTATTTCAAATTCTGCTTACCTACCTGCTTAACTTTGTTCAACTAGTGTTTGAGGACCTGCCTCTTGCAAGGCTTTGTGAAGAAAGTTTACTATATAGGATATATGCTCATTATCTTGTGTTCATTTTTTGGTCTCTTGTTTCATTTTCCTACTTTATTCCATCTTAGGGGAAAATAATCTGGAGAACACTCAGCCATATTCATATAGTAAGCAATTCCATTTTAGGACAAAACACGAGCGATATAATGAAGTTTAGGATAGGTGCAAGCCACTCAGTACAATGTCTGGCTCTTACTAAAAGGTCAATAAATGTTTTGACTGAATTAATTCTGTTCGAATTTTTAAAGATAGAAAATTAAGTTTAAGACTTTCACAAAGAAAATTCTTAATTTATTGTTTTATGCCTTTGGAAACCTGCCTATTTTTGCTTCATGGTAGTTCAACTGTTAACATTTGAATTTTACTTGTTATCTATTGTTATTTGTAGTTGTATCATTTTGAAACAAAGTCAAAACAAATTGAAGGCTATTATATTACATGCTTTCAAAACTTTCTGTCCTCTCTTTATAGGTTATATGTAAAATAAGATGTGCCACTGAACTTGACAAACACAGGTGAGTTTCATGAGTAGCAAGATCTACATTTTTTTCACAGTAGAGTTCTCAAGGTCTAAGGGCCTGGTGAATCAGGGTGCTTAAGAAGCAGTTTTATAGAAAATCAAGTAGTTAGATTAATTCATAGGGAGTGAACTGAGTGACCCACGGTCTTCTCCCTTCTGCCATGTTGCTGCCTAATACCGTTTTTCTGTTGCTCTGCCACTGTGCTGCTGCAGATGTCAGATGTAATTTTATAGGGTCCACAAATCCTGAAGTTAGATTACACTGTTTGAGGCAAGAACTTATTATATAGTTTCATGAAATAAGTAATGTCTCAGTATCATTAACCTCAAAACTTGGAGTGCTCAGCTGGGGAGTCAGAAGGCTTGAGTTTCAGACCAATTCTCCCACTAACTTGCCAACTCTGCAACTCATTTAACCTCTCTCTGTTTTGGTTTCCTAAACTACTCTAATCACCTGGATATATGGATAATTTCAAGGTCTGTTTTGGGTATCAAACTATGTAATTATTGTTTCTATTATTTAATCTGAGAGAGTAGTAAGGTCTACACTTCTTAAGTTTCTAAATTAATGCTTTAAATTCTAATGCCATTTTTAAATGGTTTAGATACTAATTTCATAACAGCGAAGATAGCCCAAGTCACGCTGAGTGATTATTAAATTTGTATTTAATGAAATTACAAACATTTTAAACTGAAATAATTATTGTACCTAAAGTAACACACTAATAAATTTAATTTCTCATTAGTTTTATAAACATCTACTAAATCTTTGTATTTTGCATGTACACTTAACAAAAATTGCTTGTTACAGATAACTACACATTACCTTCAATGTACCTTATGTAAACTATTTCCAAAGGCAGACAATGTTTTATGATTCCCACTATTGAAAGTGACCCAACATAGAAGATATTAGGATGCCAAATAAATTTTTGGATCATATTAATTTGGAGTATAAAGCTGAACTGGAGTTACATTCAGCTAGATAGCTGTTACAGCTACTGGATACAGATAGCCATGCCTTACCTGAAGAGTTTTTATGAAGTGGTCTCATTTTTCTTAGGTGGAAGTAGTTAAGCATTTCATTTTCAGAGTTGCTCTGTATGCATAGTAGATATGCAACTTTATGAAAAGATGAGGTATTGATAAGTGCTTGGAACTCTACTGTCCCTGTGTTCTTCTTCAGTCATGTCTGAAAATAATGTTTGCTACAGATAATCAGAAGTTCATAAAATTAAACACTGTTTAAAACATATTTCCCTTTCCTCTTAAAATTAATATTAGTGACCAATTTAAATTTAGGTACAGTTTATTAATTTTCCAGACAAATTATAAAAGCCTGGTAATTCTTAGAGTGGAAAGATCAATGAAAATATGCTTAGTTATAAAAATGAAAAATTCAGGATTACTTGAATTAGTGTTAAAATAGTCCTATATTATTCTTCCTAGTAGAGGCAACTAAATTCAAGTGCACATGAGATAATTTTTAAATTAATGCTTTAAAGTCTAATGCCATTTTAAAATGGTTTATATACTAATTTTATAACAGCAAAGATAGCCCAAGTAACTCTAAATGATTATTAAATTTGTATTTAATGAAATTACAAACATTTTAAACTGAAAGAATTATTATACCTAAAGTTACACACAATAAATTTAATTTCGCATTAGTTTTATAAACATCTAATAAACTCATTTTGTTTTTCTTTCAGAATTCTATTGCATTTGGGCTTTATATTGGCAAGCCTTCTCTTTTTAGTGGTGAACTTGACTTGTGCAATGCTAGTCAATGGAGATGTGCCAGAAAATCAGTTGAAATGGACTGTGTTTGTTCGAGCATTAATTAATGATAGCCTGTTTATTCTTTGTGCCATCTCTTTAGTTAGTTACATATGCAAAATTACAAAAATGTCATCAGCAAATGTCTACCTCGAATCAAAGGTAAGTATATCTCTTAAATTTTCACTTGAAAAATCTAACTTCAAATCCTCATCATATGAAGCATATTTTAATGGAAAAATGTATTTTTTTCTTCTTTGAAAAATAT